AAGAAACATCATATTTACCTGTACTTAATTGTGAACCAGGTATTGATGGTATTGGTTCAATAGATGTAAAATATTGATTTGATTGACAACCATTTAGATTTCGACTTGTAAATTCACATCTAAACAAAATATTTTTATTATAAAGAAAAAAAAAAAACATTATTTTATAAAAATTTATTCTTCTTACTTTTGTGATGCATCATCAAAATAAAATTTTTCACCTATTTGATTACAACCATATGAACGTTTTTGTTCACCAGCAAGACAAGCATGAAATACATCACAAAAACGTGAATCACGCCAATGACCATCAATACGTCCTTTACAATCAAATGGAACATTAACAATAACTTTTTGATTTTGCATTGGTGGTGGTAATAAAATAAAATTTGAATAACGTGTTTGTAAACTTTTTCCTAATGATAAACGTTTTTCATTTATTTCATCAACATTATAATGATTTTTATTAGTATCTTGATTTTTAAAATTTTTCGATAAACGTTTACCATTTGATGTTAATATTAAACGATCATTACAATCAACAAATTCTTCTAAACGACATGAACCAACATGTTTTTGAATTGTTGAATCATAAACTGTTCCTTCACGACACATATAAACTGAACCATGACCTGATTGACAATGATAAAAAATATTACAATAATTTTTATCACCAATTAAAACATTTGAAATATCTAATGGACATTCAGGATGAAGTTCAGTTCCATAAACCATTATAGATGATGAATTTATCATTGTACCATTAGAAAAATCTATTGGACGACGAAGTAAACCTTTACCTAAAATGAGAATAATTTTAAATATAATTTACAAAAAAAAAAAAAAAAAAAATATGAAAATTTTTACCTCCACAAACAACATTTATTGGATAATCACAAATATTTGATTCAGGATTAAAAAGTAATTGATTTTCACATAAATATTGTTCATCTTCACCATTTATTGTACATTTATGATAAGCATTACAATAAAGACTATCAGCATATAAACCTGGTTGTAAACATTTATCAAGCATAAGTGTATTTTTTGGTAAAAGATAACTAAGTATATCATTATTATCTTTAGTTGTCATTGTTGAACCTTCTGTTGAACGAAAGAAAATTTTTCCTTTACAATCATCAGGTTCCGGATGAGCACAATACATATTTCCTGATGGGCCAGTTTTAAATACAGTAGGAAATGGACACATAAATGGTTGATCAACTACTTTATCATTTCGAGTAATACAAACATGAAACATATTACAAATATTTGGATCACTAAATTAATAAATATACAAGTAAATTTTTTAGTTTTAATTATTAATCTTTTTGATTTCATACCTAAATTTACCCGGTTGATCTTGTTCACATTCAAAATCATTATTTGATGTTGATAGAAGAAGAGAATCTGATATCATAAGAGCAATTTCATCTTTATTATTATCATCAATTTTACTACTATGAGTTTGTACCCATTGAACATAAGTTGTTCCACAACTTTCTTCCTCAATATCTATTCATAAGAAGAAATAAGTTACAACAAAAAAAAAAAAAAAAAAAGAATTAATAAAATATACAAACCTAAACAAGTTTCTTTTGTTTTTGAATAAACTTTTGCCATAGGACAGACTTGAGATTCAACAGCATTACATTCTGTGCTTGTACAATTACATTTATGATAGACATTACAAAATTTTTCATTTGGATGATAAACTATTGTAGGTAAATCTGTTGAACCATGTTCAGGACAAAGTTTAAATAATGCCACTTCATCTGGCAAATATATTGTTATTGCAGATAAAATGCTTAGAAAACCTATTGTATATTATATAGATACATATACATATTTATTATATATATATATTTATTTATAAACTTACTGATGATAAATTTCTGCTGCATAGTATATGTGTATGTTAAAGTATGTATGCTTTAAAAAGGATCGAGAAAGAAAATGAATGACAGTAAATTCAGCTGCCGTTCACTTCGCAAGTTGACAAATTGTTGATAGTCGAACAGCTCTGTCTGTCTTCTCTTCTCTCTATTTTTTTCACTTTCTCTTTTCTCTCTCTCTCTCTCTCGATCTTTATTTCTCCCACCCACTTCTTAGACGACTGAATCCCATTGGTAAAGTCATCCTTTCTAGTTCACTATCAAATACCACCAACCACCAGTTGGCTCCGTATCTCTCTCTCTCTCTCTCTCTTTCTAAACATAACAAAATCGAGAGGATTAAATGAAAAATGAGAGAAAAAAAAAGATATTAACTGAGGAGACATAAGAAGAAACTTATGTTCTCAATCATATCTCTTTTCTTCGTTTCCCTTTATTTCTTAAGTCGGCCGTTGCTGACCTTCCGTACGATTTCTATGTGTATTTTGTCGTATAGATTGCGTACGTGACGCGTCATCGAACAATTATACACGAACATCACGCTTTCTATATTTTTTTCGCACCCGATCATCTCCAATTACATCACGTTCATCTTTGTTGTAGTACGTCGGCGCCGTTTTAATCCGACATTTTATGTCCGTCGCTTTTTGTTCTTCTTTATTTTTATCGATCAACATGTTCATAATACACATATACTTTTCGTGTTCAGTATTATTATCACAATAGTTGAGTTCGTGATGCAAATATTGACGAACTAATCTTAGTAATACACCCACACTACACGTATTTACTAAATCGATGTAGCAATCATGTTGATGTCTCACTTGTGTCTTCTTATCGAGAAATTTTTGTTTGTACGATTCATATATGACAGATAAATATTCACAATCAAATATGAATATAAGAAAGTTATTCATAAAATATATATTTAAGAAAAAAAAAAAAAAAAAAAAACGAAAGAAAAAAGAAGCGAACCTTGTTCGTATATATTATCTTTCATTAAGGTTTATAATATGATGTTAGCAAAAGAACATTTTAGAAACAGGAGAAAATGGCAGAAGTTCAAACCCTCGTTTTTCTTTTTTGTCGAGGTTATTTTACTAATAATAATGATCAATCGTAATTTAAATATGAATCGAATTTTCAATGACATTTTTATAAGTATGTGTCAATATCATTATATGAGGAAAAAAAAAACGAATCAAATAACAACTTACTTGAGAAAAGAAATATTCGATAATAAAAATTGATCATCAGTTGTTTCTTCTTTGATTTGACCGGGCTTCTACTTAATATGAGTAGAAATATATAGTTTTAACAATGAGCAATAGAAAAACAAATCGTCTATTTGTACCAATACACCTACTTATTCGTTATGTTTTATATTTCTTAAATCCTCTGTCTCTTTTCTGATACATGTTACTTGAAAGATAGTTGATCCCTTCGCCTCCTCTTCTTTTGTTTGATATAGTTTTTCATCATATCTATCTTTCGTCTCAATCCACATAATCATCATTATTATTTTGTTGCTTATGTTTCGATGATTGAATTCTATGGTTCTTTATCTGATGCAACTGCATTGATTAAACGACGATATTTGTATAAGATCAGATTTATATATATATATATATATATATGTAACAATCAAGAAATGTAAGCAGCTCAGTAGTTCACTCTACATATATCCTCTAAAGTCAAATTCGTTGTATTCATACAAGATATGTAAGCTCTCAATCTTGTCTTATGAGAACAATACTTGGACCATACTTAATCTGTTTCAAACAAAATAGTCTACTACCTTTTGCTATATACATATCTATATATATTTGATTATGTATTAATATGAAAGTTGAAAAATCTAGTTGTCTTCTTCTTCTTCTTGTAAAATTAGAATAGAACGAATATAAAATTAAAATCGATTAACAGATGTGCATATTATATCTTGATTAAATAACAAGTGTCATATAGATGAAATATTATCATACCATTGTTTTATGTGTATATTGACATACAATCTAATAGTTAAAATCGATGTAATCTTGAAATAAAACACGATGTATTTTGTTTTTTTTCTATTTTTAAATTAATTGAGATTGGTTGAATAAAATAAAAATCTTATTGATATATCAATTTCAACTTATGCAATAATTTAATCTGTGTACATAATAAGAAATGGTACCTGTCTTTATTTTATTTTTTTTTTTGTTGCCAATCAATAAATCAAATACATTGATTTAAACTTACAAATGAATGAATCTTAAAAATAAGTTGTTGTTTTTTTATTCATTTTAATATATATGCAATTTAGAAATATTCCTAAACATCGACATTTAATAAAAAGGAAATTTAATTATTGACACATATATGTTTTTTCAATAAAAATATAAGTTTTATTTTCTAAACAATTGATCTATTCAACATGTTCATCCTTTGAAATGTTTACGTTCGAAACAAGAAAGGATAAAGGAAGGAAGGAAGGAAAGATATTTTTATCATATATTTGCATTTACTTGACATTTTTTTTATTTTGCATGTAAGAAAAATAAATCATTTTCTTATCATATGCTTTTCTTCATTTACAATCACTGATTTGTAAATCTATTACGCTTATATGATAAAAGATTTATTTGAATATTAAAAACTCACTAAAATATATATATGCTTCAATGATATGTCCTTCGAAATAGTTTTAAAAAAAAAATATACCTTGACGTATATAGTGATTATTTGAAATCTGTTTAAAATTGTTATTTGAGATAGTTAAGGACATGTTGATTATTATTAATATTGAATAAAGAAATTTGAGATGATTTGATTATGTAAGGTAATGATGATCGTTTTGAATGATTTGAAAAAAAGATGTATGATTAGAAGGATATTATTTTATGATCTTTAGAATTAGTATTATGTATTGCTCAAGTACTTTTAGATTAATGTATTGTCATTATAAATATAGAAGCAATAAAAAAATGTGAACAATCGAGAATATTTTATTCAGAAATCATCGTCATCATAGATGTTCTTCTAGACACCAGTTAATTTATTCGTGTATGAAATTTATTAATGGAAAAAGAAAAGAAATATTTTAGATGATTGTAATAGGTATTATAATGAATATTCAGATTGGAAATATCGATTCGATGAACGTGTGAATGATAGTTTATAATAATTTTGTAATGGCATAAAAGCTGGAGCTCGCATTGATAATTGGTGTTTTAATCTGCTATGTTCATCTGGAATAAAACCTACTGGATACTGGAATGGTGTTTCTACATATTGTTGTTGCTCTTCTTCTTCTTCTTCATAGAAATTATATATCTCGGGAAATGTTGGTGCATGTAAAATAGGTAAATGTCTTGGTGCATTATTTCGATTTCTAATTGGAGGTTGATGTTGCATTGGATAATTTGGTAATGGTGGTCGAGCTAGATATTTCCAATATGCAACATGAACATGAGCCATTTTATCAAAAAAATAAATAAATAAGCAATTTTTCTTTTACATTATTTTCTCACCTTACTGTCTCTTTTTGATTGTATCGTGATAAGAAACCAAAGTTGAAAAATAAGTCATTAGAATATTTAACGCCATATATATTTATCATTTCTATGGTTGACTTCATACATACATACATTTATATACTAATTTTAACACAAGTGTCAAATATTGTATATTGTTGAATTCTATCAAAACAAATTCGTTTGATTTGAAGAAAAATTAATATTTGTTACACGATAAAATAAATAATTAGATTATGAAATGAAAAGTAAAACTTGCTCTATTTTAGTTTTATAAGAAGTATTGTAGAATAAAATCATCTCTTTGTATTTTATCAATGTTCATGGCTTCGACTTCAAGTTTTTTTGCTTACAAACATGTATATAACAATTCAGCATAAAAAGTAATCGTCAAGCATTTTGTGTTGAAGAATGCACAATGTCGAAGTAACACGAACTTTGTAATAACATTTAATTTCAACATATAGTTCGTTTTTCATGTGGTTAGTTGTACTTGTCGCACTTTGTAACTGTATTCTTTCGTCTCACCTTTAATTAAGATTGTTTGAAAAGCAGAACGGATACGCCTATGTCAAATTTTCTTATAGAAACGATGATAAATCGCTAAAAATTCATATTTTCATCTGAAAATTTTTTTCACAAAATTTAAATTTCATAAAAGATCATTGCATAGGCTTGACAAATAAATCATTTAGTTTTTACAACAGTAGCGATAATCTTTTAACGCAATAAAGTTAGTATAGGAGTTTTACAAAGTGATGTCAATTATATTTACTAAAACCTTCGAAATGTCTACACAAGAATGAATGATTAAGCTTTCATTTTGTATTTTCTCATGTGAGTCGAACCGAATAAGTCCAGAGAAATGCAGTGATTTAAACAAAATCACAAAACAATAGATCCCGGTAGTCGTTCTATATTCTGGAAGAGTACAAAGTTTTGATTCCGATACATTACTTCTTACTCTTTTCAAATGCATTTAAATGCACGAATTATAGTCAAATATTTTGTTTAGAAACTTTTGACACATTTCTTATGTAGGTGTTGTCTTAATTTTTAAATTTGAAATCTCTGATCGAGACTATATCTTTCAATGTCACAATAAAAGAGATGAAAGAATGGATATATGTTTCTGAATAATGAAGTTGAATCGATGGTAAACGTGTTTTAAAATAATTTTTGGTGTTCACTCATAATAATAACAAAATACATTAATATTCTTATAAAGAGTGTTTCATGATCATCAAACTACAATTGATAAAAATATCGAAAAAATTTAATGAAATGTATCTCTCCATGATATTTTAGCACAGAAAAAGTAGGGTTATTTTCAAAATGCTCACCGTTATGTAATTTTAGTTTTTTGAGATTCCGTAGTGGTCGCTATTTCGAGAATAATCCTGCTTTTGTTGTGCCAAAACATCATGGAGATATATTTCACCACAGATGAAAAAATAAATTTCGTTAAACTTTTTCGATTTTTTTTACCAATGTAATATTTTTTGTGAGTTGATCATCTAATATGAATCTAGTTTCTCTTGGATGATAGTTTATATACTACTCTTCAAATACGACCAAAATATAAAAAACAGGGATCGAAAATTATGAAACATACTTTATATATTCATTTATTCAAAAAGAGCAATCAGAAGAAGTCTTCATTTCTTTTTAGATTACTTAATATGATTCATTCCTAGTGATAACTTTGAGTACTAATTAACAAAAAATAATTTTTTTTTAATAATATTGGAAAGGAATAATTTTCATACTCAAGTTCATAATTATGTTGTGACAAATTGTTTTATTTGATTTATTGACAAGAAATAGATACGATTCTTTTGTATGTAAAAAGAGTCATTCACAGGAATGTCCAGATAACAAGAGGAGAGAGATCAAGTATAAACAGACGTTACGATACTTTTGACGTCGTTTTTTAAGAATTTTTTAAATTTCATCGACTTCAATCAGTATTATAAAACGAGCAACTTCTTCGAATTCTATGATACATCATCTATGAATAAGTCTCACATATCAATCACTTAATATACAAAGAAAAAAAAGTCATATATTTAAGCAAATAGGCCCTTTCGAAACAAAAACTTCAGAAATCGAACATCCGAAGGGATAAAAAGTGGTCAGTGAAAAAAAATGTGATTTTCACCTGAACATTCTTTATAAATGATTCTATGTGTGTAATGTCAAAAGAATGTTCGACTCTTTACATATTTCTATTCGTTTATTATAAGAATTAATCGATGCAACGTACTGTTCTGTCCTTACTACACTCATGGCACGTGCTTGTAACACGTGATCTTTCTGTGATATAAATTGAATACATTCGTTCTTATTTCTATTACATTCTATTGTTTTTCAAATCAAAGAATTTATTTTAAATACTTATACAATTATGTCACAACACGAACTTCATGGTGATCCAAAGAAGATAAATTTAAATATTATTTAAAATTAAATAATAAAAATCTTTCTATTAGGCTGGTCCACAACCAAGTTTTCCAAAACAAGAACAAGATTCACCCGGTTATGATTGTAAAATGGATCCAGTTCCAGATTATGGTCTCAATAGTTATAAAGGTACTGGAAAACTTCAAGGAAAAATTGCTATTATTACTGGTAAGATTTATAAATTGTTTTTATATTTTCTTTTTTTTCGCATAATAATAATCATTGATTTCTTTCGAAGGTGGTGATTCTGGTATTGGTCGAGCTGTTGCTTGGGCATTTGCACGTGAAGGTGCAACAATTGTTATTTCATATTTAAATGAACATGAAGATGCAAAAGAAATTCAACAAGCTATTGGTAAAATTGGTCAAGAATGTATTGTAGTGGTAAGTCAATCAAACATTAGAGAGAATAATTCGTTGAATGACCTTAGTTTTACAATTTTATCGATCTTTTATTACGTTTTTTTTATTTTAGCCGGGAGATATCAGTCAAGTAAATATATTATTTTTATCAGAAATAAAAAACAAGGTATGTCATACATACATATATATATATTCGAATAGGAAGAACAATGTAAAAAAATTATTGATATAACAGTATCAAAATTTCAACGAATTGATATATTAGTAAATAATGCTGCATATCAAGGAAAACAATTGGTAAATTATGTGAAATTTTTTTATTAAATTAATTTTATTTCAAAAATTTATTTTTCTAGTCTGATATAACAGAACTTACATATGATAGAGTTGAATATACTTTTAAAACAAATATTATTGTCAGTAAGATGTTTTTATGATAATGAAATCGTTCTAAAAACATATAATTATAACAATTCAAAATAATAGTAATTAATTATTTAGATTCCAACTATCTAATTCATTTGAAAATATTGATATGTTATTGTAACTATCATACTTGATAAGGATATATATATTAAAAAATTATCAACAATACTAGAGAATAATTTTTAGTTGTATATTAATAAAAATTTCGTCTACTATCACAAGAATAAATATGAGAAACAAATACATATCACAGGATGGCATTGTATATCGAATTCGATGTCAAACATGATGCTTCAATTTGCATAACTATATAGTTGTACATCTGAGAAACTTTCTATTGCGGAAGAAAGTGTATACTTCATTGACGAACTACTTGAAAATTCTCTTATTATTTTGTTTTTTTTCAAGTGTTCGATTTGGTGAAATATGCAGTACCACATATACCTAAAGGTGGAGCTATTATTAATGTTAGTTCAATACAAGCGTAAATCATATTTAAAATATCGAGATCTTAATTGAATTAATCTATTGTTTATTAGTTATGATCCATCAGCAGAAATTTTAGATTATGCTACAACAAAGGCTGCCATTGTTGGTTTTACTAAAGGTTTAGCACGTAAACTTTTAGAAAAAGGCATTTGAGTTAATTGTGTTGCGGTATATGAAATTTTATCTTTATTTAAAAATTGAAAAAAAAGAAATTTTTTTGTTTTTTGTGTTAAGCCTGGACCTGTTTGGACTCCATTAGTTGTTGCATCATTTCCAAAAGATAAAAATGCTAAATTTGGCGAAGGTTATCCAATAAAACGACCAGCACAACCACGTGAATTAGCACCAGCATTTGTTTTCTTAGCATCAGCTACTGATTCATCTTATATATCTGGGTAAGAATTTCTATTATGAAAATTATATTTCTCATGACTTTACTTTTGATTTTTTTTATTGTACGATTTTTCTAGTGAAATTCTTGCTGGTAAGTTGAGATTCTTCTTTCTATTTTATAAATTTTTTGTCTTTCTTTATAAATATTTAGTAACTGATGGTGAACCAACAGTTTAAAACAAACTCAAGACAATTTTTATCTTTTGTATAATTTATTCATGCTATAAGCATTTTTTTTTGAAATAGTTTATTTTTTTTTTAATAAACAAGCGTTATATTTAAAAAAATAATGCATATCCTTATTAATTAATGTTTATTTTTTTGTATCAATAAAGGTAATTTATGATAATAACTATTTGTTGAATACATGAGAATTTCATTTACAACGAAATTTTCAATTAAATAGTGCGTTGTATTTTGTGGAACTTTCATTTATTTTTCGAAGGAAAATAGTGTGTGTAGGTTTTGTGGTCTTCTCCACTTTCAGAACAACCGGGTCAAAGGTCATTGGGTATATTTCCATAGCAATCAAGAACGATCGGCATCTTACTTCTATTCTAGAGTTCCTTAGTATAGGAAAAGGTAATGAACAGTATTAACGATAAGACTTGAGCTAGTCTAAAACATTCAGAAGCTTTAGTTGAAACACATATGTCAATGTTCTAAATGGTGCAGTTTCTGATTTTTGCGCAGATAAAACTTTATGTACAAGATGTCAACGATGATACGTAGTGATGCATTGATTTTCCACAGTCATTATATGATCGACATAAAATGCGTAAATTGATCAAGTTATAACTTTCATGAATAATCAATATCAGTATTTCTGATCTTATCGAGATATATAATAGTGCATTGAGATTTGCTGTAGATATAATGAATATCTACAATAGGGTTATTTGCTAGTTGAATCAATGGTTAGAATAATAATATCACTGTTAAATTAAGAAAAACGAAAAAATAACAAAGCAATCGAATAAAATTCTGTTCAAAATTCAGAAATAAATAATAACGATAATATATTGATCAAATATTAGACTCATAGTATTAATGATTTTGATGAAATTGAAGTTGTTTATTCACAAGCATTCAATAGTTCATTTATTCAAAAAGTAATTAATAGTCATTTCTATCACTTAACTAACTAATTAATCATAGCGTCCAAATATGCTTGAACAATTAGTTAATACTATAGAAACTTTATCAAAATATCAAGATAACATGCTGGACATCTTACAAAACAAAAAACTTTCCAACATGAATTAAACTTTTATTTTTTTGTTCGTTTCTATAAAATGATTTATTATCATTTACTTGAAAATAACAAATAACAATTATTACGAAAACCAATTAAAATGAAACAATATTTACAAATGTCAAAAACTTATCTTGTTTACTTTTAATTGAATCTCGATGTGATTAGTCCACGTCGTCAAGCTCATATTGATCTTCTTCCAAGAAAATTATACCCATTAGTCATCTTATATTCGATAATGAAAAAAAAACCCTATTGCACTGTTGTTATTTTGCTGCGAATACTATTGGTAAACATAGAATTTACAATTTATGGAAGACGAGATGATGTAGAAATTGTCACATGTGATGTTACAATTAATTCTCGATATCAAACAAATGCAATTAGTTTTCAAAAAACATATTTTGATTTTTAATTTATAAATAATCTCACTTAAAAAAAATACACATTTAATCAAAACACAGAATGGACAGACATATATGCAAGTTCTAATTCGAATATTTAACAATGTTAAGTTACTTGAATGAATTGTTCATACTTATAAAGAAGAGATAGAAGGTAGACATAAAGGTTTATAATGATGTAAATTCTCACACAATAGTGACGGTATATTTAGTGCTGACATTCAAGCCAAGAAAAATCCAGTACCGCTCTTTACGTATCTATGATATTATACAACGTTAAAGCTAAACATATTTCGACACTGCAATCATCTTAACCGAAAATGTTGGGAGTCTTCGATGATCTACGAATGAATCTTTCACTGAAATTTGTATGCTAATATCTGATGATGTTCAAGTCTCATACAATATTGATTATCACGACGTAAAAGTAGACAATTTTGCCTTTGCAGATTTCAGTACTGGCAAATTTTGTTTACATTTCAAACGCAAATGTCTACAGATACTTGTTACTTATGCTCAATGTTAAAATGAAGCTAAAACGAGATCTTATTCTATCAATGAATTGAATTTCAATATTACAAAATTTCAAAATCTAATCAGATTTCCTCCAACGTACTGTAAATTGTAATGTTTCTTAATCGCTAAAGAATAGATTTCATTGTATGATTGATCTAGTTTCATTCATCAAATAATAATTATAATAATCATTCAAAAAATGAAGTTAAATGTCATTAAGATTTTTCTCGACATATTAGGAAAAAAAAACGAAAACAATTAGTTGAAATATGAAACGTATTTCATAGAATATATTTATCAATATGTATACAGATACAATACTAGCCAAAATTATAATAGCAATGTTATGACTCTTGCTCCCATTACATGCAGCGTTTTTTAAGATGCTCTCTATATCTTGGGTATTTTATTTACAGAAACAAAATGAAATAAGCATCCTAAATAGTACTTAGTATCTATAAAATAAATTTCAGTTCTATTGAACGAAATAGGGACGAATATAGGAATCATTTCTAGGCATTTTGATCCCAAAATTTCAAATAAGAAACCATTATAGAATGTTGACTTCGGGGCAACTTTTACTCTACTACTCGCGATCTATTTACCCAGAAAGTTTCGTAGTTTTTCATTTGACCATTCTCAAGACACCCTGAAAATGGAGGTATGAGGATAGGGCTTGAGACTTCTCTGTATTAGCGACAAAAAAAAGATATGCATGCATAAGGTATACGAATTCTACAAATCGATATGAAATTTACTGTGAATGCTTGTATGGAGCATTGGCTAATAAATTCACAGACGTGAAGACAGATATTCAGAGAGAAAACATCAATAGATGTGATATGGACTGAGCACATATGAAGAACAGAAGCGCATTCAAGAAAAATAACTCGTTAGTCAGTGATACATCTGCAGCACATGGGTACTCATCTAGGCCTAGAATAATGACGATTTTAGAAAGACAATTCTTATTATTGTGAGTTGTCTGATATGTAGACGTCACGAAGAGGATCTTCTCATTTAACTTAACACATCGATCATCGAACGATCTCAGATATTATACAGACGATGAGCTGAAGTATTCAAAGCAATATGAAACAAACGTGTGCATCTTAAGAGATAATAGTCTTTTTCTTTATTAGAAGATTAAAATATATTCATACTACAGCCGTCTATCGATCATTTTGAGCAACTTATTCGATACCTGATCTCGAATCAATGCCTGATATGAAATCAATTCGAATCGGATAGTCAAATGATCTTCGATCGAAAATGAACTGCCTAAACAACGTGTCAAGTAATTGTTCACATGTGTTTTCATATGTTCAATGGTCGTATTCGTTGTTTCAACACAACGAAATGTTAGTATCGTTCGATTATTGTTATTGGATTCATTTTCTATTATTAATTGCCATTCGATGAAATCATATTGATTCATAAATTCCTCAATATCTGATTTCATAATCGAGCCAGGAGTAAGATCTATTAATCGTTGACTTTGAAAAACTTCGATCAATCCATATTTTTTGTTGTCATCATTCGGTATTAATCGACCAAGATCGCCAGTATTGAATCGAATTAGTTGATTTCGTTGTCGAACAAGATTTGTTACGATAATCTGTCCATTAGCAATGTCAACTTGTACCAATTCTTTTGGATACATATATAATCGAGTTGTAGCATATTCAGGCGTTTGACAAGCGAAAACACCGGTTTCAGCTGATCCATAAAAACCTAAGCACATCGAACAGTGAAAGATGCGTTTGAAATAATCTCGTTTAAGATTATCCAATGGTTCACAGGCAAAGAAAATTTTTTCAAAATGAATTTTTTCATTTGTTCGATGATGTTTTTCAATAAATAGAGCTAACTGCATAAGTCGATAGGGTGAACCCATGAGAACATTCGGTCGAAAATGTTCTATAATGTTGAGAACTTTATCATCTTCAACATCGGAACCCATAGGTAAAACTGTACAATAAGCCATTGAACAGAAATCATTGAAAATTTCCAATGAACGATACATATTTTTACAATGAAATAGATTGAGACAGACATCTGTCTCGGAGAGAACATTCTTGGAAAGCATCATGTCGACTAAAATTTCTCGTTGCCGTTGATTTTCTTGAATATCTGTAGCAAAGAACAATCGTTTTCCACCACTACCACCCGATGATGATAGATAGACATTTCGATTCCAATGTGAATGGGTCAATCTGGACAATGCTAATTGTTCATGTAGTTTTGTTTTGGTGAGAATTTCATCTTGTTCAGAACAATATACATATCGACGATGAATAAAAGGTCGAATGAAATAGCCACCATGACAAATATTGACAATCTTGTTTGGAGATAATCGAATAGGTCCAAGATTGAAACAGCGATTATTGGAACAGAATAACATGCCTGATAGATTCATAGACTCGTATTGAATTGATTCTTGATACTGTTGAATGATCCATTCTTGATGATTCAGATCTAATAAGAGACGAGACCAATCTTCTTGGGAAACATCCATACCTAAATTCGTCATGAAATTATACTGTTGGTCAATATAGATTTCGATGTAATGTTTGTTTGTTTTTTCTTCCGAAGAAGAAAATCACAAACAATGATCAATATGCTTGCCTATGCTCATATTTTCTCCTTTGCCTCCAAGATTCGATTTGATACACCAATTGTTTCTCATGGTCAAGACATTTTCTCGGACATAAGATGGCATTTGACCAATAACATAGGTCGTAGGTATCAGTTGTGTCAAAGTCTTTGTCTGATCATAATCACATTGCCAAAGTGCATCTAAAAATGCTTGATTAGAGAGAAGAGAGAACATACGTTTATCATGTACAAGAAAAATTGTTCGCAGATCATTCATATATCGTAGTTGAGTATTATGAATAAAATTATGAAGAATATCATCTGAGAAATTCAAAATTTCATCTTGATGCAATTCCATAATCAATTGTTGAATAGGATATCCATCATTTCGATCATATAATTGTCCATTGATAATATGTACTTGATCGGGATGAATTATACGACAATTTTGATGATATTTATTGATCCAATATTTTTGAAATAGATGTATATCAAAGCCGTTTTCTTTCGATTTTAGAATTGTCATCGATTTTGTAGTATCAAATTGAGATGATGCGATGATCATATCAAGCATAGTCTTGAAATTGACTGAAATTTGATTGTCATTATCTCCAGGACAGATTGCTACTGAAAAAAGAAATGCATTCCATACGAATCGAGCGTTAATTTCACAAATTTTCGGTTCAAATCGATGTTTGCCATTCATGGTGAAACGACATCCTTTGGTGAACAGAATATCTGGTCGATAATTTCCCATATCGAAATTTGGACGATGAATATTTAATTCACATAGAAGATTGTGAATTTTTGATTCGAATTGAAATGTACGTCGAATTTCTGCACCTACTTCCGTCGATTGATGATATTGTTGAACAATTAGATTCAAAGTTTTGTACAAACGAGTATGTTGCTCATGAAAATAGTCGAGTAATGTGTGTGGTAACGTTAAATATTCGGGACGTAATTTAGTTTCATTATAAATAGAGAAAACGTCATATAGAGCTGGTTTGTTAAATCGAATTCGAAGTAAATGACGACGAGGATCGAGAATTTTTGTTCGTGCATGAAGATATTTTCGATTATTCAAAAGAATCATGGTATATTTTTCTAATTTTGGTACATATTTTGGAATTTCACTGATAATTGACTCGAGTTCATTTAATGCATTAGACTTGTGATCAAGAACAATATCTGGACGATAACGAATTTGATGATGATCGAGAAGAATCGGTCCGTAGATGTGATCGATGTCCTTCTCTTTGCGAAATTCCAATGGAACAGCAATTTTAAAGTTTTCTGTTAATAAAATCATTTTACTTTTTTCAGATAATCGATTGACAATGTCTGATACTTGAATAATTTCGAATTGTCCACCACCTAATTGATCTTGTTCCAAGACAAACAATGCCATATATTCTGGTGGATTTGATTCGTACGAGCAGTCAGTGTGAAATGGAAATTCATGATCGGTCTGAGATCGTGCTAATGGATGTTGAGTATCCGAGGTAGATGGTAATGGTCGTACGTGCCAGACGAACGATTCTTCGTCGGCATTATGAGTCACGCATTTGCCACCCAATTTCTTGATGAAATCAACAAAGAAAGTTTCGATTTTTTCCATTTGATTATGATCACTTGGAAGATCATTCTCGTTAAATTGTATGCGAACGTAACCATCATTGATTAGTTTAGTTTCTATTGTGGTCAATAGGTCAGTCGCGTATTTGAAATCATTCGCATTGAAATTCATCTTGTCTGCAACACAAAAGTCGGCGATTATCATATAGCATAGTAGAGAAAGAAGATCAAAACTTGAACACTTCTTAGCGTGGGCAGACCCTCCAGTACCTTCGATTCAACGTGTCACACATATCTCTGCTTTGATGAGCGAAACATAATCAATAGGGATACTTTAGTTCACTAACATTGAAACACTTAAAAAATTGTTTTAAGATCTGTTTTAGACCTCGTCCGAAAGAGAATTTCGTCTGCTACACAATTGTCTACTTTATTTTTCAAATACAATTTCCTTATCTACAAATAATTTGAAGCATTAATGCCTACTCTGTCAATCCTATACAAAGAGGATACAATGAAATAAAAAGAAGTTATGAAAATTTTTATAACATAATCTAACTCAGTTTTCAAACACACACAGCAATCCAAAGTGCTGTTTTGTACTTTTTAAAATTTGTACGTGCTAGTACTTCTTATTTATCGCTTCGCACGACTAATAAAAATTAGACTATGAGCCTCTGTTGTGATTACAACTCATTAGACCGTGTTTGAAAATCAGAATTAACAGAATTCATATATACAAGAAGTGTAGTACAGTAGTTTATTAGCAGTTTGGAACAAAGATCTTTACCGTAACCACCGATACGGAAGAAGTTTGCAGCAGTGTCACATATCTAGAATCTCGGGCATGCTGGAGAAGTTTAGGGAGATGCGAGAGAAGTGCATTCTAGGGAGATGCAAGAGAAGTGTAGGGAGATGCGAGAGAAATGTGGGGAGATGCGGGAGAAGTGTGGAGAGATGTGAGAGAAGTGTGGGGAGATGTGGGAGAAATGTGGGAAGATGCGGGAGACGTGTGAGGAGATGTGAGAGAAGCGTGAGGACATGTGGGAGAAGTGTAGAGAGATGTTGGAGAAGTACGGAAGATGTGGGAGA